AGCATTGACCCAGCCAGCTGGTAGACAGAAGCACATGACAGAGCATCATGGCGTCGCGCTGTGAAAACTGGCGAACACATTACAGAGGAAAAGAGGACAGCGCTGGCAGAAGAAAAGAGTCAAAGAATAGAAAAGCAAGGCCAATGACACTAGCTCCAGCTGGAATAACCTGCCCGGTGTGCAGCCGAACATTCCGGGCTCACATAGGTCTCACCAACCACATGAAGAGATACAAAACCCCAGTGCAATGCCCACAGCCCCTTGGATGACAAAGGTGGTCGTCATCGAAAAACAATGGACGAACTATATAGGTCTATCTTCGATAGAGATTGCAAATAAAATTCTTGTGCTAGTCGTGAGTTGTAGTCTATACTGACTCTAAACTATTGTATTTTTACAGGATTGAATAAGGATGATGGTAGTCGATATAAATGACAAAGGAGGTTGTTCTAAAAATAATACACTAGCTAGTTTTTCTTTTCTACTTTGTTCTAGCATCGAATTATCCATTGCGCTACCATTGGACATTCTCAGAGCTGAAATAAGTATGGGTGGCTGCCTGGCGGTATGCGCGCTAGACTGTTGTTCGGTCGTCTCGGTGGTACCGGGTTCATACCCTGCCCGCTGCCATCCCTCGTCGTCCTGCGGGAGGTTTGGACTTTAGGAAGTCACCGGGAATGAAAGTATCGAGCATCCGAAACATTTAATCCATTTTACAAACAGAATTTTATGACCAAGATGTTTCCAGTCGCAGCAGCTTTCGTTTGCTAATTGGCTTCCAGTAGTAATCGTGCCAACAATTTACTAGAAAAGAAAAAAAACTGTCTTTGGTATAAGAACAACGTGTACCACAAGAGCTACAGTGGTCCATTTTTTGTGTACACTGAAACACGGCCACCCGATGTATATGTACAGTGGTCTATTAGGGGAAAAATGAATACGTCATCGTCAAACTTTCTGGATGCTGATTGGCTGAAATAACTCTACGAGCTGGGCCTCAGTACAATACTAGGAATCCTTCTCACAAACCATCGTCCCTTTTTTCTCTATGGCCAACTAAAGTGACAGTTTACTGTATACGTACCAATTATTTTTATACTGTAATGCGACATAACAGTACGGTATGACTCTTTAAGAAATAAACGATTTTGATTGGTTGCTTCTGGCTACGTGTTATTATTATTATTTTTTAATTCCAAGGTTATCTGTTTAACAGCGATAGCCGCTTAGAATGTACAGGTTATAAGATGATGTCTTTATCGAAATTTGAACGGTATTTCGAAACCCAAAATGTCCTAGGGCTTACATGGTCATTGGTATCATAAAAATGCCAGGAAATATTGAGCAACAAGTCCTCGTTTTGGAGAATTTTCTGGTTTTCGACCTGACGGCGACAAAGGAAACCCTCAGGCGCGGGGCCTGAGGCGGTTGTCCGCTTAGCACCCCTTAATATCTATACTGATTTATATTTCATTAACTATAAAGTTGTTCCGGATATTGGTTTTAAAACAAATTTATGTCAAATAATTATATTTTTTTCAAAAATATCGACAATAGGTTATTCAGGATTTTAAAATAAGAAAGTAATTTACTAGAAACGATTATTGAAAATAAGTTTTTAGACTTATTATACAGTTAATTTTCTTGCCGAAACATAATAAAATTTGTTTAATCGGTAAAGAATATTCCGGATTTTGTTTTGAAAAAGAAATCGACCTACATTACCTTAATTTTCTTACAAATCGTCGCCAAAAATGATCCGAATTTTATATGAAAAATCTAATAACGCTAATAAATGTTTGAAATCCCTCTTCTAAAAAATAAAACAAATAATTTTCTCATTTACGAAAATTGGTTGTTCCGGATTTTTTATGAAAAATAGTTTAACTCTATTTATGTAAAATCGCACTTCTCTCTTACACTACATTAAACTTTCAAGCTAAAACGTTAGAAAATCTAATTATCGTTAATATTATGTTCCGATTTTTAAGGAAAAAATCTTCCTAACATCAAAGTATATTTTGATAATCTCTCTATAAGGCTATGGTACATCTTATTTTCATAACAAACCATCCCACAAATTTAATTAACGGTATTTGATTAATCTGGAATTCTTATTTTCTCTCACTATAAATATATAAACATCCGGAACAATCTATTATAGAAACTTAAAACTTACGCAATGTTTCGGAAGGGAAATTAAATTTTAATCAGATTTTTAATAGCTTTTAGTCTTTTTTTTTTCTCGCTATTAACATGACGGACAGACAGACTGACAAACAAAACAAAAAAAAAAGCGTCTTTAATCCTTTTAAATATATGTTATATACATATTTAGTCTAACTAGCCCATCAAATGAAATGCGAAAAGAACTCACTCTGTGCACCAATGTCTATGAACCCTCGAGAAGCTGCTCGTATAGAAGACATTTGTTAGTCTAACTAGGACGTGTGACGTAATGGAATTTTTTTCCTTTGACGTCATATGGAGTTAATTCTTAAAATGAAATGCTAAAAGATCTCACTTGGTGCACCAATGTCTATGAACACTCGACAAGCTGCTCGTATAGATGACATTTTTTAGTTTAACTTGGACGTGTGACGTAATGGATTTTTTTTCCTTTGACGTCATATGGAGTTAATTCTTTAAATGAAATGCTAAAAGAAATCACTCGGTGCACCAATGTCTATGAACCCTCAACAAGCTGCTCGTATAGATGATATTTTTTTATTCTAACTAGGCCGTGTGACGTAGTGGATTTTTTTCCTTTGGCGTCATATGGAATAAATTCTTTAAATGCTAAAACAACTCGGTATAGTAATGTTTATTAAATCTCGTAACGTGACTCGCATTTTAAAAAGACATAATAGCTAAAGTTAGATCTAATTTAGATTTTTTATACTAGATCTAGATTTTTTTCTTACACGAGCTAGATTTTTAAATTTAGATTTAGATTTAAGTTCTAATTAAAATCATTACAGGATCTAAATCTAGAATTTCTTGGTCTAGTTTGGAATGTTTGTTGTTTTACATGTTTCGGATGTTCCTTCAGAGTTGTAGTCCAAACCTCCCGTAGGATGACGGGGGATGGGAGCGGGCAGGGTTTGAACCTGGGACCATCGATGAATCCAAACGACAGTCCAGCGCGCAAACCGCAATACCAGACAGCCATGATTTAGACTAGATCAAGATCTATAATTTTAATTTTTAGGTTTAAAGTGTACATTTTCATTTCTAAAGTCTAGATTGTCAATATTGCAATGTTATAAAATACTAAAACTAATCTTTTATATTGCAATTAGTCTATTAATTGATTATCTAGTGTGTTTTTTTATATAAATCTTATCTAAATTACATCTACATTATCCCAAGTATATATTTTAGATCTAGATCTAGTAGATATAGATATTGAGAGTGCTAAATTAGTAGTTTAATTTAGGTAGATCTACATCCTCATTCTAGTTCCATTTAAATGAAAATGCTCAATACCAAAAGATTATCTAAAATCGCTCTTTTGACATATTGTACATCTCCGGTAGTTGTCTTTCCGTAATGTGTAGGTATGTTATCAATAGTAGGCTATTAGTTTAAAACTAGTTTGTCATTAGATTAAGAGCAATGCCTGGTCGTGCGGTTAGCGCGCAGGACTGATTATCTCTACGGTCTCGGTTTCATACCCTGCTCGATGCCATCCTCAGTCGACCAGCGAATATGCGGATCCGACAGGGATCCGTCTTCCACGGGGGCCGCCTCTGAGTTTGTGTGGCAGCACAAACTCTCTTTGTAATCTTGTTTAAATTGGGGTCATGTCTCTAGCTTTTTTTTTTTATAGACGATATTACTGCTTACAATCAAAGGACATTAATGCTCCTCATTGTTTATCAAAAAGCAATAAAACATAATATTGGCTTTGAATATAAATGTATACTGCTAAAATATATTTGTTTGCGTTTTTAATAGATAGATAGAATTTAATTTGTTTTTTTGAATTTTTATAATATAGAATACTAAAAATATTTTATATAACTTATGCCATTTTTACAATTTGCTGTAAAACAAATTCTTAATGACAAAAAAAATGAAAATTTTGTTTATTTAAAGTCTCTTAATAGAGTTCTATTATGTCATTGTACTACCGAAAATAATGTAAGGAAGGATCGTTCGTCAAGGGTGGATAACTGTTGGGAAAAGATATCAACTATTTATAATGTGCATAAGTATTACTAGACTTACAATTTTAAAAGTCACAAATCGCGTGGCCATGGGCGGTTGCCGACATTGCCTACTTTTTGTTCTTAACGTATGTTTACAAGCTACAGAGTTCTAAGACTTTGTTCAAAACGTGTAAGTGTTATATGGTCATTGGGTCTTGCACAGACTAACTTCTGCTATACTATTGGGCCAGGTGAAGTTTGAAGAAATCTCCGTCTCGTTCGAATGACGCCTGCATCCATGGGCTCCCATCTATGTTAAGCAAGATGGCGCCTAGGCTGGTCTTTAAAGCGTTTTCAGGGGGAACCTTTGTTACGTCTATCAACTTTCAGCATGCCAAAAAAAAAAAAAAATTGCCCTTAGACGCACGGTAGTCCCCCATCTTGTAGAAGAGTTTGTCATGTGACTGTGGAGCCCTGTTCCGATTATAACGCAGGTTAGCATGGCATTCGATTTAGTGGTAGAGGAACCATGCATGTTTTTGTTTGCCTGGCTTTTCTCCCAGATCTGAGGCCTTTGCTTCTTTGCTGTCTATAGCTTTCTTAGTCATCATCTCTCTACAGAGTGCGGCCCATGGTTATAGTCAACTTCATAGATCACTTTTAAAAGGTACAATTCTTACACAGTCTATGATCCCTTATTAACCCATCAATTACAATTTGTTGTGGAGGTTAACCCCACACACACACAAAAAGGAAACCCCAACAACAAAGTTTGAACCAAGGACCCTGCAACAAATATTACTATCACTAACATATCCCAGGTAATATTATTTAAACAAAAAATACACAAAATGACATTTGTTTATTTTTTTTTTTGTACATAAAAAATAAATAGACAAAGAAATGATCATAAATATCTGAGTGGATCACATAATCAAACTGGTGGAAAGAAACCAAAAGTCCTAAAAGCATTGAACTAAACAAATTGTGCTGGTCAGTCTTAAAACATAATGCTGATTAGATTCTGTAATTAGGAAAAAACAAAGGTCACATCACTTATTTCTACTCTTTCCAAAATTGACAAACTGAAAATATTTGCTGGTCAGTGATGGAAAAATGGCTGGTTTAGATCATCAGATTGTAGCCAGGAAATAAAAAAATTGGTTGTCAATTTAATGAATAGCGGCTGACCAGTTAGTTGATAAGATTAGATCCAGTGAAGTCAGTAGATGATATCTGATAAATAGTTTCCAGTTATTATACCATCAATGAAATATCATCTTGATACATAGAAGAAAACAAAAAGTCAGAATGGTTCATTAAATCTCAACATTATGTCAAATATCAAAGCACATCAAAGCAGCACACAGAATAAATTAATCTATTTACACTTTACACCACAAAGGGGGATCACTCCAGTCGTAAAACTACTTGCACATAGGAAGTTATCTAATTTTGTCATTTTTAGGGAATTCTAACTAGGTGAAGAAAATTTGAATGATTCTTTCCTTTTGTAACAGACTAAGGCAATTCACATCCTGCTATACAAATTGACCAATACATGTCTTGGTACTTTTACTTAGAAAACGAAAGATGTTTGTATTTACTCTGGCACACAAATGTTGAAGTTGAGCGTAACCCATCCTACAAGCAATAGTGATGACAATGTTTCCACACAGAGAAGTTATAGATCTAGTGGTCAGTGGGATGTGAAAGTAATTAAACTTCAGGAGGAAAGAGTGGATGATCACTTGTATAAAAGAACTGAAAAGTTTGATGTGTTCCAACATGCGAAAGTGTACCAAGAAACAAGATTAGTTATCAATACAACAAGTAGCAATAAACCCAGAAATGTTTAAAACATTTTTTTTACTTTTCACTAATGGCACATTTTCCATGCCTTAAGTCAGGGTTTCTCAACCTGTGGGTCGATTGACCATTTGCCAGGGGTCGCCTAAGACCATTAAAAATGTTGACTGTTATTGTCTACCCTACTATTCTGTATTTGTGTATGGGGGGGGGGGAGTCGCGGCAGAGTGGGTGATTGTAAAAAGGGGTCGCCGAGCTTAAAAGGTTGAGAACCGCTGCCTTAAGTGAAGTTCAAGCTATGCCATTCTAAAAAATCTTTTCTTGCTATCATCATGGCAAATAGTTTAGTCAATGGAATGCCAATTTGTGACCTAGAATATTCTGTTACCAGTAAGGAAATGACACCTATGTTTTCCCCAGTATTTAAGGAAATTCAAACAAATTGCAAGGCAGTGCTCTTCAAAGAAAGGTAAAACAGATGGTGATGTCCATGAACTAGAATGGAGTCCCAAGATTAGAGGAGCTAGTAGCTTTTATGTTGCAATGGAGAACAAACAGTGACCTATTCATCTGACCTTTGTCGAGTGTCCATAAGAGGCGAGCTCGCACTGTGCTATGACCTCAACCAAAGGGAAGAATTTTATCTCAACAAAGCTGTGCAGCAATTAAAGGGCATAACTAGATTGACCTAAGAACACACGTAGGACTTAATCAAAATTTCAAAACATTTTTTGTTCTTTTTGAAGGGTTCAACAGAAGCAATACTTTCCGAAGACTACTTTTCGTCATCTAATCACCACCCATTATTGATACAACACAGTAAGTAGTAGCCAACTTTAAATCTATGTAGGCCTTGATGTTGAGGACCACTGACAATAAATCTACACGACATTGACGTTGAAACTACACGACACATTTACACCAAGAGCAATGTCATATAAATATATATAAAGTCCAATGTGTGAATGTATATGTGAATATGTTTCAGCTGAAGGGTTCTGCATGCACTGTGCTCTTTAAAAAATGAGTTTTTGAAGTATAAGAAAAAGAAAATGTCTGAACAAGGCAAGCTTTTTGCATAGTGCATAGCAAACAAAAAGAAATTTTACATCTCTACTACCAATAAAAAAAAATTATATCAATTGGTGACTTTGACTGCTTTGAATGTAAATTGTGTAAATGAAGTAAAACATTAAAGCATAGAAAAAGTCTGAGAAAAATGAATAGAATTTAATTTAAATAAACTCTGAAGTGAAAGTTTTTTGTTGGACTACTTCATGTAGAAACATTGGTAAGTTTGGAAAACAAAAAAACAAAAAAAAAAAAGCTAAACCAAGATCTTATTAAAACATTAATACAAAAATTGAGTTTAAAATGTATCAAGAAATTAGAAAAAAAAAGCCATTTTTGAATGGGTTGGTAAAAATGAAACAAATTCAATGTTGATGACAATGCAAAGAGAAAGAAGCTATCTTGTGACACAATAGCAATAGGAAGAAGTCCACAGAAAGTACTGTACACGTTCACAGCCTGGTTACATGAGCCAGTGGTTTTCACAACCTTTGTCTTTAATGTTGAAGCTCATAAAAAACACAGTCAAGGAGGCCAGATTTTTGTTCTGGGAAATAAGACTAACTGAACAAAATTAACACTCTTTTCATATTCAGATTTACACAGTATTTTAGTGAAATGATATCTGGATAAGAATAGTTCTTTATTAAATTTTATTTTTTAAAGACTTTGAATTGGAGTAGGTAAATAAACAACTGTAGTAGGCTATAAAAAATAATTAGTAAAAAAAAATCTAATAAGTTCTTTTCTGATGTATTTGGTTCTTATCAGCTTCAACATTAAATTTAGTTTTTTACATTTTATAAAATGATTACATATGATAATTCATTTATCAAGTATGTTATGTATTATAACAGAATGATTAGAATGAACATGTATATGTGACAAATAAAATTATATTACACAATATGAGACAAGGAAATAAGTCTTATCTTCCATAATCTCTTGTACATGAAAGCTTGTGAAAAAAATGAGATTTTAATGATTGTCAAGGTAATGAAGCAAACATTAAGCATCAAACAATGACAAAGTAGTATCTTTCCTTAAGATGAGGTCATTATTTACATGAATTCACCCACAGCGAACATCAAAATGGCAGAACAAAGTAACGATAATTCAATGAACAGATATATATGTTGTTCTGGAAGCCTCACAACTTAATTCAAATCTATTGATTGCTACCTACTCTCCTGGCTTCTAAAGAAATCAGCCGGAAATGACTGTGAGAGGAGTATAAACGACTGACCATTAGAACAAAAGTTCTCTTATAAAAGAGAAGATAAATACGTCCTACGCAATATGCATGTATTAATCTAGAAAGCGTGTTAAATTAGGTACCTCTCATTACATACCAGTTGGCCAGGTTGAGATCCTGGAGAGGCAGATAGGTTAGGTAAAAGGTACCGCTATTAGACCTTGAGATCTAAGGGGGCAGATGATGTAAAGCTCATCTGTTTCTAACCTCAAAGGTTGATGAACAACAACCAAATGCCTTTACAGCTCCAGCAGGTATCCATTAGAGTTGGATGGACTCAAGAGCATCCTAAAACTCCCATAGTTCAAATTCCTATCCATCAGTAAAAAGTGAAACACTTTACATTTCCTTCTAAGAGTGAGGAACAGACATTGATAAGAATTCTGTGGAACCAGGTTTACGAAATGTCATAAAGTTGTGGTTTACACATTAACACTCACATTTACATTCACAGTGACACAATCCAAATATTTATTTACAGATATATGTTTCAAGAAATCTCAAGAAATCAAATATTTTATACATACTGGTACACTGGAATCATAATTCCTATACAGTAATACAAAATACAAGAACAAAGTATATTGCACAAAGATGTGAGGCGATAAGCTGTCAACTATAAGCATGGACACAATGCTATGTTTGGGTTCTTTCATGATGGAAATACAACTTAAAATTGAACACATTATGGAAAGAAATGAAGTGTTTAATATAATTATAACTCTCAAAACTAATTTCAGAATGAAGTTTTTAAAATTTCTAAATATAGAAATATTCAGAAGTATGTTAATCAGACTATTCCTTAAGCAAAAAAAAAACCAAAACAACTTCAGTTGATCTCTAGCTTATAAAAAAAACAAAATACCACAATAATGACTACATAAAATGTGTTGAAAGTCATTTAAAAATGAAGTCATTGATAACAAGGAGCAACAAATTTGTATGAATGTCAACACTTAGTTCTGAGAGATTTTAAATGTCATTGGTGCAGGTTACTATGAACAGTTACAAACTGCAGTTTTAAAACAAACACATTCATTCATGATATTATGAAGATCTGGAATTCATCATACTTTACTTTTCAAAAAAGTAACTTGGAAAGTTATTTCTTGGACTGTAGTGTCATTAATGTAACATAGTGTATATATGTAATATATTTATGATGTAGTCACACTCCCTTGTCTTTCCCTGGCAAAATCCACAGCATTGTTGACTCTCTTTCTGTTCCTCTTTGCCAGTTTGGCCATATCTTCTCCAAACACATCTCCAGTTCTCAAGGCTGAGATCAGATCATCAAATTCCCCTAAAGAATAAAAGAAGACAAACTATTTTTTAACAAACTTTTATACAATTGCACAATAAACTGGTATTGTAAATTCAAATCACAACACACAGTTAAAGTAAACAAGTATTTGGATTATAAAATGTTAGATTTTTAAAAAATCATTATTATATAATATTAGATATTATCTATTTTACACATTTATAACATTCTTTCAGAGAAAAGAATAAGATTCAATGAATTCTGTCTGAGAGCTAAAAACCAACATAATAATGAGAAGTAAAAAAAACAACTAATTTTTAGTTTATGTTCACAATTTTAATTTATGCGCAAATCTGGTTAATCAGAGCACATCAAGGCACATATATTTTGTTCCAAATAATTGGCTGCTTTGATTAAGAGGACTCAACTAAATAATAATAAGATTTCTTTTAGTGCTTTAGAATTCAGTCAGAATAAGAGGATGGTCTGATTAACCAGAGGTCCAAGCAATGAGATATATATATATATATATAAACTTGACGTTGGCTTTATATTTTGAAGATACAATAGTTCAAGTTGTGCTTATAAAAGCAGCCTAAAGTTTTATTTACCTTTATCTCCATTTTCCACTGTGACACCTCCGATCTTCTTGTCTGTCAGATTACTGCCTCTCCTCAACATAATACGTTTTTCTCTTTCTTTTTTCAACTGAAATAAACAGACCACTCTTAAGCTATGCCATTTTCTTTTAGAAACTGTTTGTTATTGTATAGTTGAAGGTAGTAAAAAGAATGATTCTTTTGGAATGAAACCTAACTATATGTTTCCTCTTTTTCTAAGAATGATCCTGATTTAAGGAAAGAATGCTAATTACACTCTAATTAATCAATGTAAAGAATCAACTATTTGTTAACAGAGCGTCCAATCAACACAAAGAATTTACTACTTGAAGACTAGCTCTGTTCTAACCTGTTCTTCCAAGAGTTTTCTTTTCTCCTCTTCCTCTTTCTGTTTCTTGAACTTTTCATTCTCGTGTCTGGCATCATTCATCCCAATGATAAAAGTATCAATAGAACCAAAAAACTCTTCAGGCTGAGCTTGTTTTGGGTCTTCACAAAATGTTTTCACAATAGTCTCAAACTGAAAGCAGTAACAAAAACATATTTTAAAAGTTCAGTTCTCAAGATAAAATAAGTCTGAAGTATTAGAACTATTATACAACACAGGCATAATTATTTGCTATTCATCCAATTTACACAAAAATATGGTATTTTACAATTATTATTGAATAGCTAGAGGAAACTTCACCACCAGATGTTGTCAAAGATAAAAAAGAAAGCAATGCAACAAACAGATAAATAACCCTCTTTAATATTCGCAACAGATTTCAGATCTATATGAGTAGATTCAGTGATGTCCTTATATCTTAAAGTAAAAGCACCTCTAACAACAAACAAACTCATTTCTTTTGTCTTTGATAGTGGAATGCTTCACAACACCATGGCATCCAACACTTTAAAAAAAAACAACTCTTATATCATTTTAAAATCAAAACTAGGTCTAGCTGATATGTTAAAAGTGTAAACTGTCACCTTGAGTCTCATCTCAATACAGGAATCTTCCAC